GCCCACAGCCCTACAGCTCAGCAGGCCCTTGAACCCAAGTCAGAGAAAGGCAGTGTAGCATGCAGGAGTGGTCAGACAGCCTTGGGCTCAGCCACCTCGGGCCCCGTCCCAGCTCTGCCATTTATCGCTGTACGATTCCTGGCGGGCCGCCCCGCCTCTCTGCGCGTCAGTTCTTTCATCTGTAAAACGGGGGTCATAATACTCATCTAATAAGATCGTTGTGAAGAGGAAACAAGCTCATGCTTGAGTTCATAGCCTGCTCACCATGTGACCTTGAACAAGTTACAGAACCTCTTTGTGACCTTGAGCAAATTACAGAACTTGTTTGTGCTTCTATTTTTTCCATCTGCCAAATGGGGATAATGACACAGCGTACCTCAACAAGTTGTGGTGGGAGAGATGAATTTTTGTATGTAAAGTGCTTAGAATCATGCCTGGCACACGAAAGGCCCTCACCACCATCATATTTATCAGGTCTCTGGCCTTCCAGTGCCCTGCTGGTTGCACCCCTGCCTGCTCCCTGCCCTGGTCCTCTGAGGCTGTGAGCTCCTCTTTCCAACCTGGAGGCTGATGGCCCTCCCAGGTGGGGATTGGCTGGTTTCCAGGCCTCCAAAGCCTGAGATGCGCCCCCCTGAGCTCTTTGCAAGGTAGAGGAGCCTTGAGGACTGGGGCGGTCAGGAAGGGATGAGGGGATCTGCCAGGCACCTCCCAAGATGGCCTGGGTGGTAGATTGAGCCGGAGACCTTCAGCAGTACCTTCTTGCCCCTGTGAGCCTAAGTTGGTGTTTTAGAGCCAGAGAGACGTGGGAAGGGAGAGGTAGTGGTACGGACATGAGTTTTCCTTGAGCCTCCTCAGGTCACCACATGGGTGCCTGCCTACCCCTCCTCAATTCTGGGACAGCTCCAATCCAAGGAGGGGTGCTCTTCACTCATTTGGGCTCAGCACAGACAATAAGTTTCCTAGAACCAGTGACTCCCTTCCACCCTCCCCAGGACAGCTCCTAGCTTCGCAGCTGGACTCTTCCCTCAGAACAAGCCTGTGAAGGGGCATCCAGGGCCAGAGTGGTCCAGGACTCACCCAAGGTCACACAGCAGGGCAGGTGTGCAGTGGGCCCTGACTGGATCCCCGGCGTGGGACCTGTGGGCCCAGTGCCCTTTGCTTCCTGAGAAGTGGCCTCCTCTAGGCCTTGCCCTACCCCTGCTCTTCTCCAGCAAGCCGGCCACTCCTGGAGGGCAGAGCCTATATATAGAAGCCTTTAAACGCTAAGAGGCTTGGACAGTTAAAATTCATAATTTATCCTGAAAATGGCCTGGAGCTGTGGGCTGGCTGGGAGGCTGGCGGCTGGAGAGCAGTTCTGCTCCCGTTGGATGGGCTGTGGGGTAGGCAGGGGCATCCCACCCTCAGGTGCGCGGGGTGGGTGCTTGCCCAGGGGCCACACAGGGGCAGCTGCCCTAGCGAACGGGCAGGCAGGCCCACTGTGCCCAGTCAGCAGCCTCCAACCTGGCGCGGCTGAGAGGCTGGGTGAGTGCCTTGCGGAGAGGCTTGAGTTTCCATGCAAACCTAAGGGATGGCGCTGGAGGCACTGGGCCAGGGAGGCTGTGGAGTGGTGGGAGGAGGGCGGCAGGCCCACACACCCACAGGGGCCACCCTCCCCTACACGCGCGCGCGCGCACACACACACACACACACACACACATACACACGCACAGCGCGCCCCCCAGGGGGCCCAGCAACTCTGCCAGAACCAAGAACAAGAGGAAAATAAAAAATTATACACGACAAAGGACATGACCTCAATTTTCTTCCACGTTGATTTTTTTCCTCCCTGTGGGGGGGGGGCAGCTGAAGGAGGAGGAGAAGGGAGAGGATAGGCCAAGGTAGGCAGAGCAGCCCAGGAGGAGACAGACGGAGGCTGCCGTGCTGCTCGCCCACTGGCCACACAGGCTGGGCTCTCTCCTGCGGGAGCCCAGCCCGGGCACCAGACCCCTCCTCTCAGGGTTCCCTGTCCTCCTCCCACACGCCCTGTGCCAGGAGGCAGCCCCCGCCCAATTAGGCTGGCCAAGGACTGAGTTTCCCCCATTAGCAGCTCACACCTTCAACCATTATCAGCCATTCACACCTCAGCAGGGATTAGCCCTAGAAAGCCAGAATGGAGTGGCTTTAGAAGGAGCCCGACCGATCAGGATTTGGGGTAGGAGAAAAGCAATTAGGAGTCCCTGGATGCTCTCCCCCCCCCCCCCGCACACCTTGGTTTGCACCAAAAATGCACCCCCCTTCCCTTCTTGGCCTGTGGAGCCTGAGCTCAGGGGACGCCTCCTCCTCCTCCAGAAAGCTCTCGGAAGAGCCTAGACTAGGAGGGGCTGTTCTCAGGAACTGCCCCAGCCATTGTTTGACTGGCTCTCACTGCACCTTTGAGGATGGCTGAGGTTTTATCAGCCCTGGCCCTGCCCTGGGGGCTCTCAATCTGGGAGACCCAGAGGGGAGGCCCAGAAACTCCGACAGGGGAGAGGCAAGGGAGAGAAGCAAACACAGCAAATCACACACAGACCCCACAGAGATCCAGAGGGGGCTCCCAGGGGGGTGATCCCTTCTTGAGTTGGAGTCTGCAAGCCGAGCGGGAGGTCTCTGGGCACGTGGTGGGCAGCCAAGCAGTGCTGCAGAAGAAAGTCCCTGACCTGGGGTGACTGTTGAGGGCTTCCTAGGCAGACCTCCCTCCACCCCCACATCCACCCCCCCATGCCACTCCCCCCCCGCCCCCTGCCGACACACTTCATCATTTCAAGACAGGGATCCAGTGGCTCCATGCACTGGAGCTGAAGGTGAAGAAGGGACCTCAGGCAGGCAGGCGGGCACTGGGGGACAGGGCAAGTCAGGAGGAATCTGCCGGTTCCTTGGTCACTCCGCAGGAGTACCTTCCCCTTTCTGAGTGATCAGCTCCCCACCCCCCCC